ATTTCCTTAAGATAACAATTTTGATAATGATGCAGGAAGGAAATATATTGGCAATTAAATGAGCGTGCTTTAGCACAACAAGCAATAAAAAGCTTAACACTGAGCCGCTGTGAGTTAAATGCCGGAACCATGTTGGACAACCCCCCTCCACCCTACCGGCATTTGCTGACACATTTATTTTTCAGTAAATGAAGAGTGTTTAGGTTTAATGCATTTGTGGTTGACGATAGTTTAAAAGATCAATGTAAATTCGTTTTGAACTAGTAAATACGGCTTTAATGAAACTTCCAGCAGCATGCTCTCACACCTTGGGCCTCTTCATCATCCGTAGGTGACACAGCAGGGTTCTACTTGAGTCTGATGACATGCCCATAGCGTACGAAGTGTTTGGCAGATTTTATTTGATGTGTGTGTGTGTGATTTACGGGCCAGACACTGGATTTCCACCATTGCCCAACCTGCTTTCCATCCGTGCTCAGCACAGAGGGCTCCTGAAGAAACCTTTTGCTAAAGGTGCTTAAGAGTATAATATCCTCTACACCGTGGATAAAATGTGTCTCAGAACTGGGCTCATTGAACACTCCCCCTCCACCGAATGAGGTAATGCATGAGGCAGCACTTTACAAACTGTAAAGCTGGGTGCAGAGGTTAGTTTTCATAATTGCTGTTGTTACAGGAAACCCCGGTTTTATATATTATTACTCTGTTTTCCTTTAACACTTAATCCAAACAGTAAATAGAGGCGAGTAATTTCCTCTAGAGCTCGGCTGCAGCTTTAGATCATTGGGAGAGTTTCACTGTGAGTTGTACACGGTGCGGTGGCTTTGGTTTATTTTTTTTCTTTTATCTACATTCTGACTTTTATTCAACATGAATGTAAATATGGAACAGAGTGATATAATAGACTCAACCCATTACACTAAACTGTGCCTGCATGAGTATTTCCATTGGTCCTGGAGAGGGCAGACAGAAGAATTGCAAGTGAAGATACAACCCCCCTACCCCCCCTACCCTCCCCTACCGCCCCCGTCCCGTGCTCTTTGTAAAATTTCCTTTTCTGGACTTTGAGGATGTTTTCTTGCTGCTGTTGCTGACAGAGGACGGGGACGAGACTGTCTCTGTCCCCAGCCTCGGTGACTGGATGACATTCATGTGTCCTTGAACAAAGCCAAGGTGAGAATAAATGGCTTCTTGGGTCAGACTTTGAATCTGACCTTGGTGTGAGGTTGGTAAATGTTAGGAGTGTTTGTCTGTGGATGTGGCCCAGCAGGCAGCCTCTGTGGTACCTTAAAAAATTCTGGTACGTACACAGCTCTTGCTGGTTGGATTCTAGCTTTGAGTTCCTATTTGGTAATGTAAATCTATGCCGACGGCCATTCTCAATAGTTTTGAAATTTCATGAAATAAGAAAAATGGTATAGAATGTGAAGTTCAAAAGCCCAGCATGGTCCTTGTCATATAAATCTTAAGACAGGGCCACACTTTTTCATTCTCTTCTTCATTGAAACATGTAATCAACAGGGAAGAAGTTGTTAGTGATTTTGGATGAGATTTAAACAAACAAGGAGAAAATAAAACAAATATTTTAAATAGAGAAAGTAACTCACCACCCAGTTCCCAGGCTTGGGAACTGCTGAGCTGCCTTGCCTGGCAAGAAGCTAGGACGGAAACTAAAATGATCAGAAAAGTACTTATTTCCGTAGGTAAGTCAGACATGAAAATTGTTTTAATTGCAGAACTTAGCTGATCTTGCAGCGTGGATGTCTATTCCTGGAGAAACAAAACACGGTGGAATTTGTCTGAAAACCAAGAAAACACAAATAACTTGGAATGAAACACTAGAGGAAGATGCAGGCAGAATGAACTGAATTCTAGTCCAGGAGTTCCAAGATCAAGTAGCTATCCAATCAGAGCTATAAAGATAGCTCCACGGTTAGGCCTACCAGTTCATTTAGAAGGTTCCAGAGTGGATTCCAAAGGAAGAGGGCTGCTGAGGAGCCTGGCAGGCAGAGAGGGGGTTGGTGTCGTGAATGTCAGTGTACAGGGTCTAGTCTCATTTGCTCAGGCTATGTCGAAACTGTCCCGACTGTCATAATTTACAGTAACACTAGAGACAACCCCTACTGTCTTAACATATTTTACATATAAATATCCTTCTAGAAAGTTCTGTAATAAAACCCATGGTATTCCCTAGCTTGCTTTCGCCTTTCGTAACAGGTGGTCACCTCTTGGGAAGTTATGCCGTACTAAATATAAATCAACATGCTTTAACTAGCTTTCTTGATCTTACGCCCCACCCCAAGCGTCGCTGGTTCCCATCCCTGTCTTCATGGTTTCCAGATTCTGTAATAGAGGCTGCGAGAGATCAAATTGGAGGTCACAGTCAGTGGAATTAAATCCAGTATTTGTTCTTAACTACGGCCCATTTAAGAGAAAATAAACTAGAGGCTAGAGAGATGGTCCGGCAGTTAAGATCACCAGCGGCTGCTGCAAAGGGCCCAGGTTCGGCTCCCAGCACCTATATGGTAGCTCACAACTGTCTGTAACGCCAGTTCCAGGAGATCCAATGCCCTCTTCTGGCCTCCTCGGGGACTACACGCATGTGGTGTACAGTAAGTATCAAGGCAAACACTCACGCACATAAAACACGTAAGTTAACAACAACAAAAAAAACCACTCTGCGGTTCCGGCATACCTAATTCATAAGACAGGTGAAATATGATTTTGAGTTAAGTGATGTTAAATTAATAGCTCTATCCCTTGAGTAATTAAAGGAAAATAACTATTACCGGCCTCCATGTCTGCCACACTGGGAAAGGCAGGCATGGGATGGAATTCTGGAGGGAGAACACGCTATGCTCTTCATTTTGCATGCGGCTGCAAAGCCGTGGTTGAACTCAGCTCATCTTGACTGACAGCGGGGGCTTGCACATCCAACATCTGTTTTTCTTTTTCCTAAATGCATACTTAGTCATCCTGAACCGGCCTCAAGGATTAAAAGTTGGTTCGAAATGCCCGTTGAAAGGCAGCATTCACAGCAGCACTGCACCGAGCAACTGCCGTCAGCGTGTCTGGTTTCGAGGCAGATTTGTGTTCACAACTTTCACTCGGATCTTTTTTTTTTTTTTAGGATGAATACCGAACAGACCTAGCAGTGTGACTCTTCCCCTTCTCCGCCCATTTCTTACCCCCAAAGCAAGGAGTCCGAGCTTGAGAACCCTGTCAGAAGTTATGTGCATAGTAGGTTCTCAGTCCTGACCCCTGACTTTTCACACTCAATTCCTCAAATGTGGGGCATCTTCTGAAAGTCAGGAAAGTCTAATTAGGGAACAAAATATGTGACGTGCACATTGGATCAGTGATGATTAGCCACAAGTGTATGACACACCCAAGCGTACTGAGTTCTCCCAAGTAAAAGGTGTGAGCTTCAGCTGTCAGCACATGCTTCAGTATTGACTTACATGTTATGCTGCAGTTGTGTGTGTGTGTGTGTGAGAGAGAGAGAGAGAGAGAGAGAGAGAGAGAGACAGACAGACAGACAGACAGACAGAGTGGGATGGAGGAAGAAAATGACAGACACAGAGAGAGAGACAGACAGACAGACAGAGAGAATGGGAGGGAGGAAAAGAAAGACAGACAGAGAGACAGAGAGAAAGCAATGCCCTCAAGGAAGAAATTAATCTTACATATTATTAGACACCAGAGTCATCTTTGAATATGTAAACTACATTGAGAAATAAACCTGCTTACTGATTTGGACAATGATCATATACAGTCAATCAGAGTGAAGGCCAGGACGGCCCATGCCTTCATCTCAAGGCTTGTCTGAGGGTGTCTGGGGTGGCAACCCCAGAGAGATCACACTTGCTTCCCGAGAGGAAGGAAACGGAGAGTGGGCTACGAGGTGGGGATGCGCATAAGGTTTTGCTTTTAAAAACGTTACTGCGAGACCTGGGCAAAGTGACTGATGGGTAAAGTGACTGATGTGGCATGTGACAATCTGGATGACAGTTCATGGAGACTGCGTGCGCGCGCGTGCGGACATTTACAGATAAAGACACCTTGTGTGTCCAAGTTGCTGCAGCATCTCAGCTGTTGGCTTTTCACCTGGAGGATCATATTACAGGACAGTTTCTGAAATGATCACTTCCATCACTTGGAAATATGGACCTAACGACGTTACATTTCACCAAGTTAGCGCCTGCCAGTCTAAGCAAAAGAAACGCCACGTGAGGCCACAGGGTCGCCGGTAGAAATGTATCGATGGCGGCAGGCAGCGCAGGAGGCATCCTCAGAAGGCTCTTAAAAAATGTCTCCTCGCTCTCCCAGGGAGTAAGGACGAGGAAAGAGAGATGGCTGCCCAGTTAGCGGCTAAGAAGCTTTGGTTAGTGGCAAATGGACTCTGTCTCAGAGCTGCTCCTGAAGCTGATGAATGAGACAGGGGAGCAGTTGTCTCCAGCTCAGTGACCCCCCCCCCAGTCAGCAGGCCTTTGAAGAAACTTACTTTGATCACTGAAGTCACTTAATAAAGAACTGCGCCTTCTATGCCCACACGATTCATTTGCCTGTCTTAGAGACTCCATCTATTTATGCTACCTGAAACACGTTCTTGGATTAGAAAATAAAATCATTTAGGGAAAAAAAATGTGAATCAGGCTGGGGACATGGTTCAGAGGGTGACCTGCTCTGTTTGCAAACCCAGGGGAGGGGGGCCCAAATTTTGTTTCCAAGAACCGATGTGCACCGGCCTGTAGTCCAGCAGGAGGGCGGTGGAGACAGGAGGATCCTAGGGCTCTCTGGGCAGCACCCTGGCCTCCCGGGTTGATAGCACCTCAGGAATGATGGGGGCCCAAGGCCGTCTTCTGCCCTATACATGCAGTCACACGTAGGTGCACACACAGATGCACATCCACTTAATCTTCCCTGTGTGTACTCAGCCCTGCTGTACTCATATGGTCTTCTGATCTTCCACTCCTCCACAGGGCTATGCGTGGAAGGCAGGGACCTGCAGGGCGAACCCTGCTCCTTTTGCCTCCGCCACCTGCTTCCTCCCTGCCAAGATGCGTCCGTACAGAGTAGCAGCAGAGCCGGAGTCACACGCTCTCTCTCTTTCTCTAAGTTCCTTCTTGGAGTGTGGGAGCTCCGATGGGCATGAAGAGAACCCAACCTGATTAACTTGCTGTTGCTTGCTGAGAAAACCCTGTTTACATAGAACCAGCTTATTGGTAACAAGAGCATGTATTAAGGCATAGCCCGGGAAAGGCATAAAACGGGTCTCCTAATTATTTTCTCTCACATCTTTCTCACTCCAGTTGATGATATGAAATCGGGACCAGACACGCGATCACTCATTTCTTTGCTTACTGGAAAAGGCGACAGATTTTATGAAGATTAGAAAGTTTCCCCCTCCCCATTTGTCTCTCCGGTCCCGTGTCTCTCCAGGGGAGAGATGGTAAAGAGCTCAGATGTCGCCCCTTCCTGTAAAAGTCATGCATATGCCACCCGGCCTGTGTGGCTCCCCGCCTCATGAATTTGCAGAGTGGCCTCAGAGCGGCTCCCTCTTGTCTTGGGGACCGTTGCCAAGGCTGACCCACGGAGAAACAAATGGTGGAAGAGAAGGGTCACCGTGCAGCGCAGATAGGACCTGTTCACGCTACAACTTTTGGTCATGTGTCACGGTGTCCCCCACTCCTGTCCTTTGCTCTGTTATCTTACACCGTGTGCCCCGACAGTTGCCTGATCCTCACAGGTGTGCCTCTTTTCGGGTTGGCACGCACACCCTGTCCTCTCCACGGCCCAGCTCTGCCATGGTGGCAGTGGGTGACACCAGGGAGTGGACAATCTGATCTCTGATTCTCCCGTTTTGGTTTTTCTAGGCTCCAAGTGATTATTAGTAGGCAAGAAGCGAAGGAGAGAAGAGGACTCAAGACGTCACTTTCTTACACCTGAGAGTGCCGGGTTAGGGGCTCCAATCTGTGACGTGTCAAACATGCAAGACTGCCCCCCACCTCGACCCTGCTGATGTCTGGCTGCCTGTGCGTGCAGGTGGGCACGCTGGGATTCTCCCAGATGACGGTCTCCAGCCTCGACAGAATCCTTTATGCAAGAGGGAGGCCCCTGCCCGGGTGCTGATGCATTTCTGCCGGGATCGATGCTCTGGAGCCTACATATGTTGGTAAGTAACTAGGCAGCGAGTCTGAACTCAGCTGACAAAAATTATGGATTAGGGTGCCAAGGGCAACGATGAGTAAATGGTCTGGGGGGGAAAATCAGTTGTGAATCTCTACATTCTTTTTTTCTTCCCATTTGGTAACATCTAAATAAACAAGGAAAGGGTCAGAGAAAGAAAGGCCCATAAGTCTGGGAAGACACGAGGATGGTTAGTATAGACATTTTTGCCAAGGGCTTTCACTGTACACCGGAACTCCTGGCAGGGGCCCTACCAGCTTGGTGTCCCTGCTGTGCCCGTGTTCTCCCTAGGGTTTTCTCTGTCACAGCCATCTTTCCCCTGTGCTTGATGCTCCCAGCTCTGCATCCAAGGAGCCCCTTGTGACAGCGAGCTAAGCATGGCAATGATCTAATTTCCTGCAGAAAATTAATCTGACGCCTATCTTTGGCATCACTAAAAATCTACAAGTCGCCATTCCCTGTGGGTCTTGTCTTCTTCTGTTGGCCTTGGGAGTGAAGGTGGCTGGAAGCTCACGTTCTGTTGCATCCCCAGGTGCATGCTTCTCTCGAAGTAGGCCTTTGCCGTCGCTCTGTGCTGCCCTCTTTATCTCCCACATCTTTTTCTTGTCATTGGCCACTGTTAAAAGTGGAGGAGAAAAAAAAAAAAACTACTGTCCGGCAGCCTTGGACCGTGCCTGCGATAAACTGACGGAGTGAATACTTTATTCCCACCGTCAGGGTATCCAAGAACACACATCAGTAGCTACATCAGACAGCCGAGGTTGACTTAAAATGAGGAAATGAGGAAATGTGTTTGGAAGACTGGCCCCGACGCTCACATTTGTGTGGATATTTTATTGTGATTTGAGCTTGTTTGGTAGATTTTTGGTGGAGCACCCTGAAATCTGTGTATGAGACAATGAAGACTGGACTGAACCGGAATGGGAGGTGACTGTGAGAAGGGTCTCTGAACATTCTGGAGGGGGCCTTTTGTGTCGATTGGTTCACTTCCCCTGGTTCTTTTACGTTTTCTGGTCTTACTCTACCAACTCCCTCTCCTCCTACTGTCCCCTGGGAGTTAAGTCTGTGCCCACAAAGCCCCTTGTGACATGGTCCCTCCACCCCCATCTTCCCTACTTAGAGCCAGGGAGCATTGTCAGGCCTTGAGGTATGTGTGCGTTATCTCAGAGGCCGCCATGCCCTGTCCACAGGGGCGATGGTTAGGCATGGAAGAAGAATGTTACCACTGGGTGGATTTGATGATTTGAGAGGAACTTTGGCTCTACAATCACTCTCAGATTTGTTGGTTATGAGTCTAGGGCACCTGAAACAAGTGGCCTTGAACCAACACAGATGGTTATCACTCAAACAAAACCAGAGAAAATTAAAAAGGTATAAGTCTTGTATGAACCTGAAATCAAAATGTCAAGTCTCTTAATAAAGCATAATTGTTTTATAAATAGAATGTAAATCAGATACCTTGTTTCCATTCTTCCTGGTAACTCTAAGACATGAGTTATGAAGTTCCACCTGGATGTACTTGGTGAAGCTGCCACAGGCCCACCTCTCTCTCTCTCTCTCTCTCTCTCTCTCTCTCTCTCTCTCTCTCTCTCTCTCTCTCTCTCTCTCTACTCTCTCTCTCTCTCTCTCTCTCTCTCAAGTCCTCCCTTCCTGTGCTAACTCTGCAGGTCTCATGGACTGGGCTCTTTCCCCTTGTTGACTTTGTTGAAATCCCCATTGACCAGCTCAATGTCTCATCTAATGACCCTGCCCTGCAGGTACGGGAAAGCTGAGGGCTACCATTTTCAGAGGCAAGGCAGCAATAAATTCCCCAGGATTTGTTGACATTAATTGGCTTGAGTTGGTATGAGACATTCTAGCTCCTGGCTCATTTGTCTTCTGCAATCTTTGAATCTGGTCAGTTCTCAGGCCAGCCAGTCATTCGACCATGGGCTTAACAACATCTCAGAGTCACTGGTGACTCAATCACACTTTCCTTTATTGCTCAATAAAATAATAAATAACAATAAGCTTAGAGGGTTAAGCACCGCAGCATGCTGTTCTCCAGGGAAAACACAAAGCTTCCAGTGCTCTCAGACAAGTGAGCCCACATGCCTTCAGGCCTGAACAAAAGCCCTTTCCAGAGGTGCAGCTGCCGACACCTAAGGCAGCTCCAACAGCCAGCTTTAGTCGGAAGGAGAGAACACGGGGAGCTGGCAGTTCTCTGTGCAGAGATGCATATGCAAATGAGAGATACATATGCAAATGAGAGATACATATGCAAATGAGAGATGCATATGCAAACGCAGATTGTTTTCTTATAGAACGGCCTTCCAGCTCTTCTGTTAGCCATCAAGCCGTAAGCCCATTGCAAACGAACCTCCTGACCGCCCTTGTCTACAAAAGCAAGATAATACATGTGGTAAACTATTTGTTCTTACTGCAGATACTAGTCCATGCAGTGTGCCTCTGATCCTGGGGTTCATGTTCATTGTGTTCACTGTGTGTGTGTGAGTGTGTGTGTGTGTGTGTGTGTGTGTGTGTGTGAGAGAGAGAGAGAGAGAGAGAGAGTGTGAGAGAGAGGGGGGGGCGGTCATACACAAAGTGCCAAGCTAGTTTTCCCATGAGCCCCTCAGATCCTTCAACTGCTATCTAAATCACTGCTCTCTATAGTAGAGGGCCATCTAAAAAATTCGAAGATACTGGAAACTGTACTTCTTAAAATACAGTGGCAGGGATGAGACATGTAAGTCATCTGGTAGAGGCCCTGCCTACCATGTAGACAGAGAGAGGCCTTTGCTTCAGATCTTACCATGGTGCAAACTGGGCATGTTGGCCCATGCTTATACTCCTATAACTCAGGAGGTAGATGCAGGAGGATCACAAGTTCAAGGCCACCCTCAGTTATGCCATGCAAAGTCGGTGTGCTGTGTGGCCCTGTCTCTAAAAGACGGATGAGATCCAGTAAAATAAAGCAAAATCCAATTGTAAGCTTGGTGTGGTAAGGCATGCCTGTAATGCCAGCACTTGGGCGGTGGATGGAAATTAGGAATCAAGGTTATCTTTGGCTACATATGGTGAGTTTAATGCCAGCTCGAGCTACCATAGACTCTGCTTTTGAAAGCAAAACAAAACACCCAGAAAACAAATGAACAAGAAGGCCAATGACAATTAACGATTTAAAAAGCATCCTTGGACTTGGATCTCATGGCAAAGCCACACTGCTGTCAAATTTCCAAGTGACATAACTACATGGAGATGGGAGATGGATGGAGAGGTGGCAGGGATGGAGGAGCAGTCATAGTGTGCGTTCAGGTGAGATGATAAGACACCACGGTGAAATCTTTACAAGGGAGGGAGAAGCCAATGGATGCCTGGACCGAGGACCCCTCCCCTACTGCAAAAGGACCTGAAGGGGATGTACCCAGGACCCCTCCCCTACTGCAAAGGGACCTGAAGGGGATGTACCCAGGACCCCTCCCCTACAGCAAAGGGACCTGAAGGGGATGTACCCAGGACCCCTCCCCTACAGCAAAGGGACCTGGAGACAACGTATCTTGTGGCTTTTAAACAGCAGAAACTGGTGCAATGAAGCTTTTGCTTAAATTTTTTGCTTAGGGCTTGTCTATTTTTAAAATTTTAAATCCCAGATATCCTTCAGGGTGAAACCTGTCTTCATACATCGAGTTACCCTGATGTGTTCTGGAAGCTGAGACTTGGAGGCCTTGTGTTGGCTGCACATAGAAAATTCACGGAGTTGGAAAAGGAAGGAACCGACTTTGATGATTCCAGAGAAACAGAGAGGGAGGGACAGGACCTGAAAACAGGGCTCAGAGACCAGACGTGACCCAAGAAGTCGAGGGCAGGCCTGCCTCGGCAGTGCCAGCTTAGGGACGGCCACTCACGTGGGGAAGCTTCCTGCAAGTGCACTTTGTGATATGAGCTCACGTCCCAGCAGAGCCTTTCCAGAGGAAACAAATGCTAGATCTATAGCTCCATCAGAGTTCTGGGTTTTGATCCCCAGCACCGTGTAAACTTGTTTTAGGGGCGCATACCTGTAATCCCAGCACTCAGGAGGTAAAGGTAAAAAAAAATTGCAGTTCGAGGTCATCTTCAGCTATCTCCAAGTTCAAGACTGGCCTAGGGTATATGAGGTGAAACTCCATCAAAAGGAAGCAGAGGGTAGGAAAAAGAAGCACACAGGTGTCCAGTGCTCAGTCAAGCTGGTTGCCTGGCAGCAGCGTGATTCCAAATGCCACCCATTTAGACGCGCATTTCAGAGGACCTGGGTCTCAGGGCTGGAAGAGCGAAGGAGAAGGTGAGGCCTCCACAACTTGTGGGAACCTCTGGAGGTCGATTCTCCCTACCCTGTGTCCATGGGGGTTTCATCTGGGCATTTCCAGAAAGACCTCCTGACAGCGAGTCTCCCCTAGAGCAGAATTTTCTGACGTATTCCCTGGTGTAAGCAATTAGCGATGTGACTCTTCTAGCTGGGAGTATATCGTCCTCACTCAGCTTATCCAAAAGTGCATCCTTGGGAATAAGAGCTAGAGAAGATCTGCAAAGAGGAAAAAAAAAGATTAGATGGCCAAGTACATCCTAGGACAGTGCCTAGAGCCACAATTTATGGCAACATACCAAGCGCCCTGAGAAAGTCTTCAGTAGGAACGTTACTTCTTCCCTTAGTGTCTCCTGTACCTAATTGTCCACTGATCTTTTTTCCAAATACCTCGCATTAGCAGGGAAAGACTTGGGAAATGTCACTCTACACAAAAGCCACATAATGTAAGAGCAAAGAGCTTCTTCAGACAGCCAAGGTGGAACCCTGAGTGACTGTCACCATCGCTCGTGTTTGCCTACAATTTGTACCTTCCAGCCCTCCCCTCAAGTTTTGGGGAGCATTTTAGCTTTAGCCTCTCTACACTATAAGTGACTGGTCGTGTCAGGATCTGGGAACCTACGTTGGCTTCTGTTTGTCAAAAGCAATAAAAGATTGAGCAATGATCA